AGTCATACGTGCTTGTGTCGAGCGCTCTTGTATTGCAATGTTGGCCTGCCCCTGGCTCTTCTAAGGGTAGGAAGACACGTTTCCCTGAATTGTTTGCTTATTTTCACCGAAAGGGAACCACAACGCTATGTGCTTTTTTTGTTCTTTGCAATGCAAAGGATACCGACATTCGTTCCAACAATGCGTCGGCTGCAACTGCGAGCCTATTGAGAGGTATCGAATATCAATTAGATCCTGACATACAGAGCCCGACACCTTATTGTTAAAGCAGAATCGATGACCATCGCTCAAACAGCGGTTGGTCACACTAAACCTATAGGCTGTATTACATTTGTGGCAGATCCATTGCCAACGGGCCTCTGAGATGGAGACATGGTCATTAGAGTTTTGCTTTACCATGTTGCCGGCATTTGATCTAGGTAACAGCGTGCACTCAAGGCATCGGAAGAAGGGAATCACGGGAAGATGAGTCAGGTCAGACCCTGCAACGGCTAGAAATGGATCCAAATAAGAATAAGATTAAGAAAAAGCGAAATGAACGTGAAAGACAACAGGAGTACCGGAAGATTGAGGTAGTCATATTTGTATGTCTGGCCGTTCGATCATACTTTGACCCTACCAAGAGATGACAAGACTTTCTCTCCGTATATTCATTGTGCTCAACCCTAGTTGCAAGAGCGTCGCAGAGATGACCATCAAGTCCTTTCTCCCTGGATGTGAAAAATAGAATTCTGGCTTACGCAATCTACGAGACAGAATCCCGTCAATAGACCAAATAGATCCCATATTCGATAGATCAAACTAAGCTCGGATTCCTTTATGATATGTCCGTTAATGGAAATATGGCCTCACTGTTTGAATTCGATTCATTTGTTTCGAACGAATAGAACATATATAGCTCACATAACCCGGCGAATGTTTAAATGTCTTCTAGCCCCGCTAAATTCTCACATACCTGTGAAAACACAGTTGGAAGGCCCTTAGGAGAATCAACTCATCGCTCTATGATTCTTAGCATTCCCTGATACGTGTATCAGGATGGGAGATATTACGCCGCGTGGTACAAGCAGTGCCAATTCCTGTCACCTTATTGGTAATCATTGTAGTAAAGACTCCGCAATCAATTACTAAATCTAAGGTCACTTCTCTCAATAGAACCATAGGTCAGAAATTGTCCTGCTTATGGTACCTATGGGCTATAGACCGACTTGTTTTTACCGTGCAAAACAAACCCTTAAAACAATGTCATGTAGAGCTGACTATACACACTATCAAAGAAGAAGACTTGCGTTACGTCAATGCGACGAACCTCAACTAAGAAAACCAAACTCGAGTAAACCAGTCGGCTAACGTAGCAAGATTTTCATAGTGCCTTGTGAGACAAAAGTCTTGCTACCCTCATCTTTGCAACCGATTTGATCCCTGTACTTCAGGAAGATTTGCATTGCAGCCTGTGTGTCAGGTCGCCTCACGATTCATAATCCAGACATAAAAACAGCCACGCTCAAAGAAGCCTCCAGTCCTAGGACATTGCTTTTCAATTTCCTCGAGGTATTCTAGGCATTTTGTCTCGTCGAGTTCAGACTTAGTACAGCCGGGATATCTGTGTGCACCTACAACAAAACTACGATATTCCGCTATCTTAGACAGATTCCTGGATGTAAGTGGAGCTTTGATAAACTGATTACAAAATAACTTTGCCACCTCCAATCCTATCTTTTTGGAGAGGGTAGAATCCTCTTCTTGAAGTTCACAATCTGTCCAACAAGGACACGATCCAGTGGTAGACGCCGCTGTCTTCCCTGATTTTGTGGGTGTTGGCTTAGAGGTTCCAGTAGTGACATCCGTGGTAACCTGGGATGCTGGCTTTCCGTCAGTTCTGTCTGTGGTCTTATGTGACCCTGTAGTCGGAGAGTGTGGTTTTGTGGATTCCGTCGTTGCTGGATCAGCATTGCGAGTGATTACACCGGTAGCCGAGCGATCTGGCTTGCTATTAATTGCATCAGGTGAGCCATTAGTCGAAGAGTTTGCCTCTGCTGATGCTGTTAGACTTTCAGCATCCTTTGTCCCCTTGGTCGGCTTTGCTACGGTGTTCACATTGTGACTGGTGATACCAGTAGTCTGGCCGGTTGGCTTTCTGTCAACTGAAACAGTAGACTTGTGTAACTTTGTAGCAGGAATGCTATTTGGAACTGATGTCGGGGTTGAATTCACAGTATTTTGAGATAGCGAAGTTGACGTGGCCGTTGGCTCAACACTTTTACTAGTTGCATCACTAGGCTTGTTGATAGGCTCACTGTCGGTTAAAAAGGTGGTTTCATGTGATTTTGTGGTAGTAGAATCTTTCTCAACCGATATACTCGTTGAAACAGTAGTAGTTATAAGGCTTGTGCCTGTGCCAGTTGAGGTTGGTGTTTTGTCTATTGTTTCATCATATGTTGTCCCAACAGTAGGATGAGATCTATCAAGGTCACTTATAGATATGCTGAGCGGTGTCAATGATTTGGATGGTGTTGAAGCGTCTTGAACCTTCTCTTCTCCATGTAGTAGCAGGGTTTTGGGACAATTTCCGGACCAGATAGCTGGTGTAATGATTGTTACTTCCGGGCCGTATGGCACAGTGTAAGTCTCACCAAACATTATTCTATTGGGGTTAACACTTGGATTTAAGGCCCCGAACTGCTTTACTCCGACACCAGGAAGACCTTGGC